CCAAATGGTTTATAGAAATATTTTCTAATCAACGAAATTATTGTAATAAATCTGATGTAATAAAATTACAAGGCGCGTCAACGACAAAAAAAACCCCCAGTATTAATTAATAAAAGATGTGCAAATTTCCAAAATTGGAAAAATCAAAATTTTATTGAAATTTTTTTTTTTGAATTTTTCTTCAAAAATGCAGTTTTTGTTCAAACTCCTGGAAAAGGTGCTATAAACAAAAAGAATTTAATAAAATTGACAACGCGCCTCCTACCTAATTTTGAAATAAAGCGAATCGGTTTTATCGAAAAGATGTTTAAAGCGGTAACGCTGAAATACCAAAGAAAATTTACTTAACAAGATACCTTAGGAAAAATTCACATAACATCGAGAATGTTTGATGTTAAATTCGCATCACAAATAAGTGTTCTTTAGATATTAGTATTAACATTAAACAATTCATTCTTCATTTTTGATATTGACTTTTCCAATTGTAGCGATAATGATTTTCATTGTCTGTGACACAAGAATATGCTTAATTGAAATACATCTTTAATAGATGTTTCGACCGCTTTGGAAATTGACTATACCGCTATGCATATGATATGTGATGGATAAAGGCAAATATGGACATTTTGAGAGTGGATAAATCGCTTTTGGTTAGAAAAACTTAGCAGAGTACGATTCTTATTTGTACAGAATTTATCGTTCCTAAAGTCCGACACTATTGATATCATTATAATAAAAGTTATTGGTAAATTATATCAATATAACATGTTATTTTTCTTAAAAAAAAAAAAATCGATATATATTTATTTAAATGATAAAAGATAATTGGGGCTACTTCATGTAGATTCTAAATAAGTTGAATTCTAATAATTAGTTAATCCATTTATAACTTCACTACTTCTATAGTTTGAATTCATCACTAGCGGGACTAAATAATAAATTTTCATTGACATTATACGAAAATGTTATTACGAATTAAAGGCATTTTTTTGTAAAATATTATCTGTATCTTTCAAATAAGATAAAAAATTTGGTTAATACACAATTTTCGTCAAAAACGATGGAAATCCACTACTATTATAACAATTACCTTGTCAAGCCGAAAGTTTTGGGAAGAGCGGGTTAAAAGTTTAGTGAGTTATGTTTGAATTTTTGAGCTTTAGGAGTTTTGCGCCATACTACTTCTACGCCTGCTCAAACAATAAATTACTTACTATATAGCCGAAAGATGAAGTAACATTCTATAAATTGCAATAGATTCAGATACAATTAATACATCAATTTCATAATTTTTTTTATTGATTAAAAAAAAAAAGAAAGAAAGATCAGAAAAGCACCCGATTAAAATATGCTGTAAATCAAACAAGCTCTACTGGAGAAATAATAAGCTTTGATATATTCTATTTGTTTCATAACAATTTGAATAACAAGTAGTTTACTAAAAAAAAAAAAAAAAGATGAGAAAATACAACTTGGTTAAAAAATTTAGCGGTTAACAATGACAACTTACATTTTCTCAAACGAGATAAGCATGCGAATAATCAACAAGAAGGTTGATATTAGAACCATATTGATCTAACAGAAAAGTAAAAATTTCCGGATCAGGAGCTTCGAATGTTACGTTCTCAAATTTCCGATCGGATTTAATCCTGTCCAAAATCTTGACACATCACTGTTCTTTTTTGTATCCTATCAATGGTATGTTTTGAAAAATTCCATCGCTTGCGATTAAGATGTTGGAACCTTTAATTAGAGTTGTAAGGAAGTCATATTGATCATGAATCTTTTTCATAACGTCATCTATGGTGTCATAGTCGTTGCCAGAATCAGAATCGTCGTCAGAATAATTTAAACATTGAGAAACTTTATTAACTTTCTTTAAGATCTGAACTCCTGGATTCCAATATTTGCAAATCTTTGCTTTAAGCTTCAATCCAAACAAGTTTGCGTTATCAACAATTCGATGTAGGTACGAGCGTTCAAGGATAATATGATCGAAAAGATTATTGATTTCCAATCGATTATTGGCGATCTTTATCATAAAACAAATATCATTCATTGTAAGATTATTTTTTTGTTGAATATTACCCAATTTCTTTACATTTTTTCAAATAAATTTTGATTGATAAGGATGAGTCTTTAATTCCAGATAGAAAGTTGCTCAAGTAAATCACCAGTTGAAACTTTAATATAACGACGACAATCGTTTCCTTTAACGCTGAATCCTGGAAAAGAGATTAAATCGGGGCATCAAACTATATAAAGAATAGACATTTTCATAAGTTTATTATAAATTTTGATATTCAATAATTTCTTATTCATGAAAGTTACCTTAATCGATTCAATCTCATCAAGTCCAATATTATCTAAAAGTTTAAGTAAGTAGGTCCATGAGTATGATACTGTCCCAAGGGAGTGCAATACGGAATATTAATATGAGTTTTGCCAGAATATTTTTGCTCAAGAGAAGGAGTAGTCATATGACGGATAAACTGACGCGTTACTGGAGATAACCGATTTACGGAACGAGCGTATATTTTGATAGGATTCATATTTTTTGTGAGAGCAAAAAGGTCAAGATTTTGCCGTCAGGTGTTTACGTTATACTAGTAAAATATCAATCACGTGGCTGTGTTCTGAAATTAATTGTAAACCATATATAAAGAAATAAGAAATAAATTTTTTAGATGTAATAAAATGTAAAAGATTATATCATAATTTATGATATTTTACTGTCAATCTTAAAGAAGAACTTAAAAGGTATGCATTAACCTTTGAAACGTATTAGATAGATATATACGAAATCTATGATAATAGCATCGCGAAATATCAGTCAATTTATTTCAAGTGTCGTGATACAATTGCGAATGTATTGCACATAACTATCCGTATAGTCAGAAACTTTCCAATAAAAACTTGCGTTAGAACCATAGTTCTAAGAAACTACGGTAGAACTATCAAGAAAATCGATCAACTTTGGGAAGAACATCAAAACGAAATAAAGTCGGATATCAGGAAAGGTTTTGCACATTATATTAAGGAAACTAGGGGCCGCTCATGAAACAAATAATAAAAAAACCCGACTTGATTTGCAATTTCTGGTAATTTAGATTATTACATCGGAAAGGATGAATTCTTTCTACAGACGAAACTTTTTATATCATCGAATTATTTAGTCATTTTAGAAAATGAAGTTAAGCGATAACAATAAAAATATAGGAAAAATATTAGAATGCACAAAGTGTAGTAGTTTGCATTCATTCTTTAAGACTGTAGTATGGATTTCTTTGTAAATTACTTTCATAAATTAATTTTAATGTTTAGTATCAAATAACTATATCATATTCACAATTTTTAATTAACCAAGTATGGCGCAGTTATACGCCGTGCCGGTGAAACGTTGGTATTACACCAATTTTTTGGAGAATTTTTTTTTAGAAATAACCTTTTTTTTTATTATATATTTTAATATTAATTAAGTGAAAAAAATTTCTTGTAACTTATTCATCAAATGTAATGATACATATTTTTTAATCAACTCAACATCGATAAATAATACTATTATTTTTGAACATTTCGAGGCCTTTCTGATAAGCGTTTTGGATAAGGCGATGCACTTCCTTCTCAGGTTCTAGCTTTAGAACGTGAGCAATCCCAATTATGCTTCATCAAATCTGCCAGTTCAACTGTTTTCAATATTATATAACTTCTTTAAACATCAATTTTATTTTTTCAACTTTTTAAGTAACAAAAATAATTACATATATAAAAATAAAAAATTATGAATATTTTTACCAAAATTACAAACAATATTATTTCTTTAATAATTCTTATCACCATTATCAGGAGCATAAAAAAAACCGGCCATCAAAACTGAATACGAAAGGATCAAAATTGATCCTTTAAAATAATTAGATTTCCCTTCAATATAAGTATAAGTTAACAAAAATACCGAAAACACCACCGAGAATACATCCCATCTAGGAAATACTAATCTGTTATAAAGAAAGAGAGGTCAATTATTATAATTAATAATAAAACTTTTTTAAAAAACAAAGCAAGCAGGCACGAGCAGTTTTGTTTTATTTTTATATCGCCAAATGATTACTTACGTAAAAGTATTATTTGAAATATCCTCTTCGTCAGATCTATCAGCATTATACCAGGCAGAAAAGGCAACCATGGCAGGAATTTGTAAAAGACAGACTTGTAAAGCGTAAGCAGAACCAATTTCCATACTTAAAGCGATATTGCCATATAAAGCAAAAGACATGGCATTAACGAATTCAGTTACATTAGGTACTAAAGCAAATAAAGTTAACCCTAAAAACTTTTCGGTAATGGTAAAATTATTCAATATAACTTCAACATTCCCCACCAATATTTCTGCTATAAGAGAATATAATGCAGTACAAGATAATAATACTATTCCACTTTTGACTTTACTCCAATTAGGAGAATCATGACCACAAGGTTCTTCTTCTTCTTCGGGTTCATGAGCAAACCTAATTAGCGAAGCGTTAGAGGGGATAAAATGACCTTGTGATGTTAACGTTGCTAGGTGATCTAAATTATGTATGTTATGTTGAAGATTTGTAGTTGAACTTGGACCGGGAACAGAGTTTGGTCTTTGCGGTAAAACAGTTGAGGTAGATGGTGTGTTTGATGCATTTTGTGATGATGGATACAATGAGTTAGAATGTGGATTTGATGGATGCAGATGTTGTGAAGATGTATCGTGTGGATTTGGATGTGGTAATAATTGTTGAAGAATATATTCGGGAACAATTTTCTTATAAATTGAAGTAGATCTAGTGTTTGTATTATCTACAAAAGTATTAGGATGATGTCCTGTTTGCCATACTAGTGCGGCGTGTGTTCTCAACGTGAACCATAATCCGATAACGTATGACTATAAAAAAAATCGTTACAGGATTTATAATTAATCTTTTTTTTAAAAAAAAGAAAAAAATATTTATAAATACTTACTAATACTAGGATAACGGAACAAAACAACATTAGTGGTTTTACGCGTTCTTTGTATAATGGAGTAGAAGTTGGATTGACTTGATCGTGAGTACAAAGTTGACATTCATCCGTTAATACTGTATATCCTTTACATGGAACACAAGTCATCTTATACTTATTGTCCAGAAGGAAAAAGAAGAGAATTAAATTAATTGAAAAACTTTAGAAATGAATAATAAAATCATCCACGTACTGGAGCGTAAGTTTGAAAGAATAAAGTTGGAGTGAGAGCACCAATTATAGCCATAATAAGCATAGTAGATGTAACTCCTGATAACAGAACATGTTGTTAATAAGAATTCTCTCCAAGGTAGGTTAAAGATAAATCGAAAAACTTACCAGCAGATTTTGCGTTGAACTTCTGTTCTTTACGTTTAAATCCACTACTAATCATACTAACGCCTGGCATTAATAATACACCGGCCATTAAACTACCAATTATACTGCCTTCAGCCACTTTACCTTTACCTTCTACCAAAGTAATCGCATACAAGATGATTTCAACGATACTACCAAAAGTAGCGTTAATAACAGCTCCTAATCCCGCGGAAGATTGAGCCGAAATTGAAGCCACCGCCATTCCAATAAAATAACTCAAAGGAATAACTGATATCAGTGACAATGTAAAGAGAAACTTTTGTGTGGTAAAAAAATAATCTTCAAATATTTTAGTTAGGAAACAATAATCTATTATAACAAAGAATACTAATGGCATTAAATTTATAAATAATATATTGATTCCATCATATGTATATTTAAAATATTGTAAACCGAATGCTTTATATGTACATAATAAAATGAGTGAACGTTGGTTGGTAAGTAATGATAATGAGGATCCAGGTTTAAAGTGTAATGATAATGGGTATTTACGTAAATGTCTACTTAATACAAATGTTAATTTTGCCATTGGAATTGAAAATATACATAACCAACACAAAGTAGATATTAATAAAAACATGGGAGCTAAAAGTGCAACACAATTATTAGTATTACTGAGAATATTAAGAAATTCGATTCTCATCTTAATGATTAATTCAATACTTGCCAATGATTAGGAAGTACCAAAAGTAAAAAACAACCCCAGCGAATCCGATTTCTCTTATCGTTTTAAATAAGTTGAACTTGTTTAAATTTATCCTCCTATTCCTTTCATAACTACTAAAACGTCCTAATAAAGGTCTTCTCTCACTATTAGCCTCTTCATCTGTGGTATAATCTCCCGTGACCTCACTACCTCCAGCCCTTTCTATTCCAGTAATGATCATAGAAGTATCTCTTGCAATAAAAAAATCATTATGATTCATATTTCCTACTCGTTCTTGTTGTTGTCTTTGTCTTCTTCTCAGAACTTCATCAGCTGCAAACCATTCTTCATATTCCACTTCCGATCTTTCAACATATTTACCAAATGGCCAAAATATATAATAACATAATTCCCTTAACACCCTCGCATATTTATACCCTCCTCCTGGTGTGAATAAAAGAAAGATCGATATTATGAAAGATATTAGTGCTAGCAACCAGCCACAACTTATCGCCCATAAAATATTTCCCGGGTATAGATAAAAATCCGATGAAGGGGTAGAATGAAGTGCTGAATTTGCATTTCGTGTTACTGATCGCGATTTTTTATATAACGCTGGTTTCCATAACGAAAATCCAAATGGATGTGTTGTGTTAATTGCCTATAAGAGGGAAAGAAAAGAAGGGAAAGGGTGAGAAAAGATCGATTAACCAAATTGCTTTGATAAAGAAATCACACTTTACGTCTTGTCGATCCTTAAGGGTAAGTTCGTGATCGCTTCCGCTTAACGGTTCATCATCCGCATCATCATTATCATTATAATCCTCATCAACGTCAGCATTATGCCTTATACTATTAGCACTTTTATGTCTTTTAAAAGAAGGTCTGCTTTTTAAACCAATTCTTTTATTACTTCTCCTTGAAGATGCATCATCGTTATTGTTATTGTTATCATCACCATCATCATCATCATCATCATTTGACACATCTTCACTTGATGGTGCGTGCGATTTACGTCTCGTTAACCTATGCGACGGACGATGATTTCCTCCGGTTGTTGTGTTGGTGTTATTGGTGTTCGTTGGTGATGAACCCATTAAAATAGCTGATGGTTGATTGTGATTTCTTGAACCGTCGCCTACCAAGTTATAATTACTAGGACTTCCATTTCCGATATCTCCTACACCGCTTGATCGGTGCGCTTCACTATTATTTTGGGACATTTTCAAATAAATGTTACGGAAAAAAAAATGGTTTATTGATAAACACGTATTTAAAAAAAAAAAATTTTTTTTTTAGGGGTTTTCATGCACGTAACTTGTTTAAAATCAAGTTTGACATTTTTTTTATTTGGTGCAACAGTTTTCAAAGAACAGGTGGTGTTATGATACAATTATACATAAATTACTGATAACGAACGGAATGTTTCGGTGTGTTAATTTTTTTTTTGATAATTCGATAAGCAATGAAAAAGTATTTGTAAAAAATGCAATTCCAAAACAAATATATTTCCTCAATTAGATTAGCAAGATTGAAAGTAATTATACAAATTATACAAAGCGGTTAGCTCGATTCGCTTATCGATGGCAAAACATGTGATTAATTTTTCAATATGTAGATCCAAGATTGCGAATCGTCCGAAGTAAACGTCTTATTATTTATTTATTTATTTTTAATTACTAATTTGTTACATAGCATTTAATCATGTTTAATGAAATTCTAAGTCATGTGCCAAGTTTCTCGGTTATTATTGGTCAAATTAGGCACAGTATAAGTATAACAATAAATAATCGAATTAAGAGGTTTAGTGATGTACGGGTAGTTCATGATGACGTTCCACAATTTCCCAATTTCTGAAATGGATGACGACATAATGAATTAGTTAATACATTAAAAAAATTTCGTTTATTTATTTATTATATCTTAGTACAACACCACAGCCAAAAACCTATGGGTTTCACATAATGCTTTGAACCCCAAAAGTTATATAATGCGATTATCGGGAAAGAAGGAAGGTAAATTTATTATCTTAACTCCGATATTTGTAAGGCATTTCACAAATATTGTGATATACGTTGGGAGAATGTAATAATAAAGTATATTGATAAGGAAATATGGCTTATCATTAATTTGGATGAAGCACCTTCAAGTGTTCCTTATATGCAACTAAAATTTTTAGTTTAAATCATTTTGATTTTGGGAACCAGAACCATTGATCGAATATTTGGAAAGAAATTAGATTATATTGAAAAATATCCAGAGGATGAGCCATAATCATCAGTATGTAATGATATCAACTATATTCTTTCTTCATCGCTACTTTGTTCAGATGTTTCTGAAACTTCATTAGATGAGCACAAATCATTTGATATTGCCCGCTCAATCGTAAATGTTTCATTCATAGTCAATTCTTCATCATCTTCAGATGAACTTTCTTCACTGCTATCATTTCCTGAACTTTCATCGTCCGAAGATGATAATTCACTTGAACTTTCCCTAGTATCGCCATATGAATCCGAATCGGATGCATCTATCGATGCATTCATATTTTGTAAAAAAACTACTTTTTTTCCAACAGAATTGTCATTCTCAGAACTCATCTCTGATTTAGAGTCTCCGGTTTCTTCATTATCACTACTACTATCGCTCGAACTAGAATCTGATTCAGATTCGGATGATGAGCTTCCGGAAATGCTAATCACTTGGTTGTTTTCTTTATTTTTGTTATTTTTAGAAGCAACCTTCTTAGTTGGAAGAATAACATCGTCGATATCCATATGGTTTGAATCAGAATAGTCTGATGAAGTGTTGTCCGAAGAAACTAATGAATTGTTATTTACATTATCTACATTTTCATCATAATCACTATTTGTGTCATCTTCAGAATTGATAGTTGGAGCTGACTTGGGTCGGTTTGGCTTTTCGGGTGTATTCTCATTATACCTATTTAATAATTCATAAAGAATTTCTGTTGAAACAAAAAAATTTTAGCGAGGTTGGACAAAATTTGGATTCTATAAATAAATAGGTGAACTTACCTTGAAAGTCTTTTTCTCTAAACCCATTTACAGTGTATTTTAAATGACGCCAATGCTCACACAATAACTCACGAGGCCTGATATAGAAATTAATATTAAATAAATTGATAGGCATCATATACATACAAATAATAAATACTTAAAATTTATGAATAATTACCAAAGTTCCCATTCTTCATCTGCTAGCTTATCCCATTCTATCAAATATTCATCTGTCTCATTCAATTCTTCTAATCTTTTTTTTTTAATTAAAAAAAATTTTGATATAGAAATGATTCATAAGGTTAAAATTTAAATTAATTAAAATTCATACTTTTTACAAAGCATATAGCTGTCGTAGCTAGTCCATCTTGCGCTTCGGTCCTCTCCAATTTCATACTTAAGCCTCAAATCTCTAACCCACTTACTTCGACAAGATAATGCAGTTCTTTTATTATCCATTGCTTCAGCGACTAATTGCCATGGAATTCCCCAATCCAAAGAAATGTTTGCGTCACATTCTTTGGTAATATCAACGACTACTTTTGTTAATTGTTCTTCTTCTTCCTTTGTCCATTTTCCTAAATATAATATTATGATTTAGAATAATCAAGTAACGTAATGAAATATGATACAGTTGAATACCAAACCTTTGTTGTGCTTGTCTTGATGTTGGAGACAGATAACGTAACGTTCTTTACATCCTTCTGGCATACGCTTCAATTGTTCACCAATTGTTGTCCAATCTCGTCCATACAATTGAATAAGTCTGATTTGATTTGATTTGATTCAATATATTAATTAAAGATCAATGAATGTATTAATATAATAATTTATTAACATTTACTGTTTTAACTGTTCATCTTCTTCTTTACTCCATGAACCATTATGATTGAATTCATGAAAATTTCTCTGTATGTGATGTGCAACAGATTTTAATGAACGGTAGCCTAACGGAGTAGCTTTTATGAAGTACCATTTTCAGTACTTTTTATTAATTATTATCAATTACTTCATTTAATATTCGAAATACCTATTTCTGCCCAGAAAGACGAATGTTCTTTTTCATTTCTATAATGCATAAGTTTTTGTAATTGATCATCATTAAGATTATGTCTCTAAATATTTAAAACTAGAATATTAATCTTCGATCTATATTATTACACACTAATTGCTGACGTACTATTTTGTATTCTTGTAAAGATTTCTGTAATATTTCCTTTTCCTGTTTAGTGTATCTTCCTTTCCTATATTTAATTCCTAAAATATTTTTTTTTTTGTTTTTTAAAAATGATTATGTATTTATGAACAAAACCTTGAATTTATTTTGTTACCATATAATTACCTAAATCCTCACATTTACTTCTTTCAAGCCATTTAGTGGTCAATCGAATATCGGTTTGCACCTGACCATTATTATTCCTCAATAACTCTCTATTATCCTTTAACCAATTTGTTTTGGTTGTTTTTCGTAATTCCCTCGTCTCTCCAAATGACATTTTTTAAAATTTGAAATATTATTGATTTAATGATTCACAGAACGTCGCAAAATTTTCCTAAATGCATCTAACTACAATATTTGTCTTTAATTATGATTTAAATCATATAATCACGTGTCATTTGTATCAAAGTTTGAGAATTTTATTGTAGAAAAAGCAAGTTTTATCTTGGAATCAAAATTTTGTGGCTTCCGTTTTCTAAGATATTCTTTTAAAATTTATCACTGCAGGAAAATCGTCCCTGTGCTGATCTGTCGATTCGACCAAATATAGAATGATTAAATTAAATAATTAATTCGTCGTTGCTTAATGTAAATTCTTATTCCTTACAATGCCTTTTGGTCAGGTAATCTATATTACTGTCGTATAAACACATATGATTATTTAAAATAACTTCTTTTAATAATTAAAAATTACAGATCGTTATTGGTCCTCCTGGATCAGGGAAAACTACATATTGTAATGGAATGTATCAATTCTTAACTGCCACTGGAAGGTATATATAATTTATTGGTTTAACGAAACTTTTTTTTTAATGTTTCCCAATCCTTATTTTATAAGTTTCAATTTAAAGAAAAGTTTCAGTTGTTAATCTAGATCCAGCAAATGACTTTTTACCATATACTTGTGCAGTGAACGTAGCAGAATTAATTACGTTAGAGGAGGCAATGGAAGAATTGAAGTTAGGGCCCAATGGTGGTATGATGTATTGCATGGAATTTTTAGAAAAGAATTTTGATTGGTTTGAAGAAAAGTTAAAAGCTTTGGGAGGTATGATCGATTCTGATAGTATATTTAGATTGTAAATTCGAATTATATTAATATATTTATTTATTTATTAGATGATTACATATTATTTGATTTCCCAGGACAAGTTGAGCTTTTCACTCACCATGATTCAGTCAAAAATATCATAGAGCGTTTACAAAAATTGGATTATCGGGTTTTTATTTTTATTTTTTTTTTGTCGCCAATCTTTTTTTACTTGTGCTGAATTAAATTTTATTCCTAACTCTTTTTTTAAAATTATATTTGTTGCTTAGCTCGTAACTATTCATTTAGTCGACGCGCATTATTGTACAGATCCAACAAAGTATATTTCGGTTTTATTACTTTCACTTAAAACAATGTTACAAATTGAATTGCCACATATTAATGTACTATCAAAAGTGGATTTAATGGAATCTTATGGCAAACTAGCTTTCAATTTGGATTTTTATACTGAAGTGCAGGATTTATCATATTTGTTACAACATTTGGATGAAGATCCTTTTGCTCGTAGATTTAAAGAATTAAATAAAGCATTATGTGGACTAATTGAAGATTTTAGTCTAGTTGGATTTAATACTCTTTGTATTGAGGTAATCAATAATTTCACACTTATATGATTTAATTTTATCTAATTTAATCAATCTCTTATTGTTAAAATTTTCATTTAGGATAAGAAATCAGTATGGAAACTTGTTCAAGTTATAGATAAGGCAAATGGATATGTATTTGGTGGATTAACTGAAGGAAATGAGAGTATAATGTTGACAACTATGGGAACAAATACATCAACTCTTAGTGATATATTAGAAGTACAAGAGAGATGGTTAGATCATAAAGAAACTTATGATGAATGGGAATATAATCAGCAGAAAATGGAACAAACAAAATAAGTTTGAAAACCAATTAATAAAGACAATGTAAAAAAAAGGATAAATTACTAAAAAAAAAAAATAATAAAATTGTTAATATTATATTTGAAACTTTGAATCTAAAAATCATATGGGGTCTTTGCAATAGAAAGGGAGGAAACTGCCGGAAAAATCAAAAATGAGTTAATGCTAATTTTGAACATATTTCAGCCTAAAAATCATATTTGGCATAATAAAAGTAAAATTAATTTTTCTGGCAGTTTTTTCCCGTTTTATTGTAAAGGTTTCATATATAGTATATAAAATAAAATTGTAATATACATACTTTTTATTTTATAATCACAAATTGATTACAAACATTAGTGATGAACTGAAAACTTGGTTTCATTTAATGAAATAGATTGTTTAGCTAAAGTTGAAGATAAAGAAAAGACTAAAGTAATTACTTTTAAAATAATAGAAACTAAGTATAGATAGATTTTTAGCTTATTTTAAGACTTTTACTTAATATAATTCTTTTTAATAATAAAGTATAAGAAGGATAAGACTATAAAACCTTATTTATACTAGTTTTTTTTGTTATATTTTAGTTAAAATAAAACTAAAATTTTTAATATGGTTATATAAAAAAGAAGAGTTTTTTCATATAAACTTAATTTTAGTATATTATTAACTTAATAATATATATATATATATTTTTATAGTGTGGTAGCTTCGCATAATCTTTAGTAAAATTTATAAAATACAAAACAAGAAAAGAAAATACAAAAATTTCTAGATATCCTAAACTAGTTAAAATAAATCAAAGTCAACCCTGTACTGTTCTAGACTAATAACCTAATCAGAAGAAAGAAAAATTCAACCATCTAGAGAATAGAGCTTAGTTGCTACTTGTCTAAAAATTTGATCAGTTGGTATCATACTTAAAGAAGAAAATAAAGGAGAAAGGTGTAATTAAAATATCATAGAAAGAGTGTAAAAAGCCACTAGAATTCCAATTGTACTTTTTATTTTGTACAAATATGTTAGCTAATTTTCTGCTTAAATAAATGATTCACATCTATCTTTTCAAATTTGGATACAGAAATGAATATGTAATAGAAAGTATAAGATAGTAAGTAGTGAAGTGGTAATAGAGGAATTATTAATAATAGATGTATCAAGTCGATCATTTCGGATGAGACAATGCCTTTAATAAGATCAATGAAGCAGAAATTTGTTTTATCATGATTGATGTTCCAAAAGGAAGCTGTCATTAATTTGCAAATAGTCATTTGTATAGCATTTTGACTATCAGTAAGAAATTGCAATTATTGAGAGAGATCCAGTTTTGTGAAATCAATAATGTTGATTAAAGTAAGAGATAAAAGTGAACAAGTCCAGATGTAATTAAAGTCTTCAAAAATATATTGACATCTACAACAAGTCCAATTTTGTTAATATAAGTTTGAATGTTTTTTCTTTAAAACCTCAAAAGAAGAAAGCATTTCTAACATAAATTTGATCTTTCATTTTTTATATAAGATGCTTGGAAGGACGTGAAGGACTTTGCTCATTATCATGTAATAATTGAAAGGTAACATTTCAGTCAATCTTCAAGGGATGATATTTGAGAAAATATGGTAGATTGATTACATTATTAAAGTATTTAGATTGGAGAAAATAGTAGGGCAAATATGGGGTTACTGAGATAGAATTCGAAATAGTACTCAGAAAAGATTCCTGACCGCCCACGAATCCATTTTAGCTATATGAATCAATTATCAAAT